GTGAGAGACAGTATCAAAAGCCTTCCTGAAGTCTAGGAAAACTATATCCACTGCCACCCCTGCATCCAATGATTTAGTGACCTGGTCGTAAAAGGCCACCAGGTTGGTCTGACAGGACCTGCCGCTGATGAACCCATGCTGGTTGCCCCTGAGCATGCCGTTCCCTGCTGGCCCCTCCTGGATGCGTGCCAGAATAATTTTCTCGAACAGCTTGCCAAGGATCGAGGTAAGGCTGACTGGCCTGTAGTTCCCCGGGTCCTCTTTCCTCCCCTTTTTGAAGATGGGAACCACGTTGGCCCTCTTCCAGTCCTCCGGCACCTCTCCAGAGCGCCACGAGCGTTCATAAAGCCGTGCCAGGGGACTTGCAATGACCCCAGCGAGTTCCTTCAGGACTCTAGGGTGAAGATCATCTGGGCTGGCTGACTTTAATTGTATAACCTGCCTTTCATTCAATATACAGTTGCTACACATGATAAATGCAAAAATACACAAGGTGAGAAAGAACCTATGAACTTTATTTCTGTCACGGGAGATAGTTTTCTTTGCTCATGTATTTCGTCTATACTGTTTAATGTGCCAATTAATTGAATTTCAAAGATAGATTATTTTCCACTCTAATACAAGTGTTAATACATTAACATTCTCATTATAAGCCACACGTACAGAACTGAGGAGATAAAGCTGAAAACCATCCTTAATCAGCTTGCTTTACCAAGATATTATAACTCATCCACAAGATAAACATTTTCTTGATGTCCTTGGGTTCCCCAGGAAAAGAACAGTCCAGGACACTAAAAGACAGACAGAACTGTTTCTGGTTATCATGTAGGAATGTGAGAAGAAAAAATACAGAGGGTTAAATCAATATTTGTGGGTAGTTAAAAAAAATCACTAGCTTGATATAATTCCCCATGATTACATGGAATCTATGTTTTTGCTCAAACTGTATGACAAAGCCACATGGACTTCACAGTTTTGCTTTACAGGATCCTACAGGAGTTATAGGTCTGCTATATATTTAAGGTGATGCCCCTTTTTATTAAATGTGGTGTTTTAAAATGGAAACATTGGCACAAAATTCACTAGGGTGGTGAA